TTGAGAGGTTTTTGCTATAGGGCGTGTGTGCTCGTCAGAAAGAGACAGAGAGACAGAAAGCGAGAAATCACCCCCCAGGGGAGATGGTCACACCACAATCCCTTCTCCATTCTCCTCTTGGGATATTGAGCATGTGCACACGCGCTCGGCCTGAGTTTAAGCCATCGGGTCTGAAACTCAAACTGAAGGACCAGAGGGACTCCATTTCTTTGGAGGGCGACTCCATTTTGTTAAACCCACCTTGCTAAGAAATGGTGCCATCTCAAGTAGGAGAGGGTCATAATGAGAAGAACTAAATACCAGAGACCTGAAGTAACTTTCTTGCCCAATTTAACAGTCTGAAGACCAATCAGTAAAAGACAACTTGCTTCTTGAAATCCACAGCCAATAGCACCCCTCGACCTCCCCCTTAACAGCCAAATAAAACCCCAGCCCAACTAACATGGGGGCTCTCAACTCTGACCTGCTGTGTAAGATTAGGAGCCCTGACTCAAGCCAAATAAAAACAACCCTCATGTGCTTTCGGCGGAATTGGCTCCTTGTGGATTTTTGGGAATTCAGTGACCGGGGCACCACAAAACCATAGTCGACCACATGGGAGTCCAGCGACATAGCCACTACGCCAACTGCTGGTCCCAAATATAAACATTTTTTTTTAAAAAATATGAAACCTGGGGCCAACAGGTGGCATGGTGGTCAAGGTGCTGGACTCTGACATGGTTGACCAGGTTCGAGTCCAGAACCCAGTGGCTTGAAAATCAGTCCCAGGGCTCCTGCGTGACTGCCCAAAATCTCAAAAGGAGAATGAAGAGACTGCAGTGTGGCCATCCCCCACTGCGAGGGGATTTCACTTTCCCTCTCTGTTTCTTCTCCAGCGACCATGCACGCCCTATGGTAAAAATCTTAAAAAGAAAACAAAAACGAAATCAACTTAAAATTATTGGCAACTTCTGGAGCACCAATAAAAGTCGAAGGCCCCAATTCAAAGGTGTTTTAAGCACAAACGGCCTCCGGAGGTGGTTAGTCTGGTGTGTTCCTGCAGTGGCGTTTTGTCACCTATCACCCAGCTCTTCCTTTCTGTTTCTCCTCGGTCTACAGAGGAAGCTGCCGGGTGGGCAGGAGGTGAAGGCCAGGATTCCTCACGCTTCTTGTGGTGAAGTCTACGCCAGCCCCAAGTAGCCCCCGACACCCCAAGTAGCCCCGACACCCCAAGTAGCCCCGACACCGACTGGGCTTCCCATATGCCGGGCCCTGCCTTTACTACAATGCATCGTCCCAGGCCCCTCTCGAGGCGCTCTTACCGCCCCCATTTCTCCGCAGCAGAAGAGGCTGGAGAAAGTCGGACGCCCATCCCAAGGGGTGTGGCCAGGGTGGCTGCGGATGCTGAGCCTCCGCCTGGGCTGCCCCGCGTCCAAACCCAGAGGCCGGAGAGGCCCGTGTCCCCAGGAGTCATGAGCTACCCGGGACCCAGTTATGCCCTGGCTTCCCGCGCTGGGACCCTGGACCCTCCCTCCCTCTCCCGCTGCCCCTTGCTCACTCCCGCTGGGCTGCGACCTGGGCGCAGAGTGGGGCGCCCGGGCGGGATCGGAGCTTGGGGTCGGCCTGGAGCCTGCGGCCGCAAAGGCGCCGTCCGCGTCTCTCCGCTCCGCCCCGCCCCGCGCCCGCGTCACGCGCCGCGGAAAGCCGGCACCGCGGGCTCGAGCACGCTGCCAGCCACCCCTCGGAGCCAGGGTCCTCGGCCGGGCGGCGCCGCGGGAGCCCCCACCTCTAGGCAGCTTGCGTCTCCTGCACCTCGATCTCCCTCTCCAGGCGGCGGGCGGCTCAGCAGCCAGCACCTCCCGAACGAGGCTCGGCCTAATCCCTCAGCAACCAGCACCTCCCCTCCCTCCCAGGAAGCCCTGGTCTCCCAGGCACGAGTCCGGCCCACTGGACCTTTCACCTGTTCCCTCCAGGCCTTGCCTGGGGCAGGGCACCGCCCTGGAGAGGGAGACCTGACTCAGGTGTTGGGCCTGTTGGATCCTTCCCTAGGAAGTGACCTTGGGCAGTCTTCTAGCTACTCCTAGGTAAAACTCTCTTCTAGAAATGTAATTTTTTTAAACTTTATTTTATTTATTTATTTAGTTTTAAATTTGACCAGAGAGGGACAGAATGAGAGAGAGAGAGAGAGAGAGAAAGCCGCCAGGTCCCTGACTCAAAATGCGGTATGCCATGTGGGAGTCCAGTGCCCTTAACCACCACACCACCCGCTGGCCCCCAGTAAAACCTTCTTTTGCTCAAGATTAAGTTCATTAATCCCTTCCTTCAAGCAGCAAATGTTTATCAAGCACCTACTCTAAGCCACCGCCAGGGGTTGGGCAGGATGCACTGCACAAGGTGGCTGGCCAGGCCGCATGGTTAGTTTCAGCCAGAGCTGCACTTCTTTATGGAAAGGTCTTTTTCCAGTTTGCCAGACATCTGGTGAGTGATGGTCCTCATCTAGCTCATATATTGAGAGAGGGAATTAAATGTAACACATGCCTATTAAGCACCTACCGTGTACCAGACACTAACTAGTCTGAACGCTTTGACTCTGTCCATTGTTGGTAGAGCTCACGCAGAGTCACGCCACTGAACAGTGCCCTACAGGTGTACCCAAGGGCCCTGAGATAGCACCCTCCTTCCCCCCTCCCCGCAGCACTGGGGTTGTGAGGGGAGATGTGCAGACCCCGGTTCTGAGATTGGCTCCTCAAACGTCAAGCCCTCCCTGTACCTTGGACAGAGTCATGTCATCGCACTTTTGGGTCCAGACAGGATGAAGTTTTCTTTTCCCTCCAGAAACCACAGAACACAGGCTGGGCTGGGAACACCTTTTATTTGGCCGCATGCAGCAGGGCAAGGTCAAAGAGCACTACTGTGCTCCCAGCAGGAGGGAGAGGTAGGAGCTGAGGGCAGGGGTGGTGCTGGGAGGGGTGGGGCCTATAATACTCAGCAAGCCTCAAGGAGCTTGGCCTGGGCTTGGAGGTAGACAACCCCTACCCCACTCATCCAGGGCTCACACGTCCCAGCTCTCAGAATCAGGGACTGTCCTGCCTCCTGCCTGCTCTGGGTCACCCTGCATAGGGTCAGCTGGGTCCTCTGGGGAGTTCTGCCTCTACCCAGTACCCATCTGGCTTCTGGGGCTTCATCAAGAGGGCAATCCACTCTGGCCTGGTCCCCACCCCACCCTGGGCCTGCCCGTGTTCGACCAGGTCAGAGCCTCCAGGCTGCAGCCGCCTCTTCTGAGCAGGCAGGCAGGCAGGCAGAGCGAGAGTTTAGGAGCAGCAGACGGGATGGGGATGGGACTTCCTCCTACTTCCCAGATCTGTCTGCACTGCACTGTAACCTCTCAGCTTCTATTATCCATGGCAGCAACAAGCTTGCCGACTGGCCTTCCTGTCCTCGCTCTGAGCCCCCGAAGAACACAGAGAGGCTCCGGAAAGAAGAGGCAACTGGGGGTAAGGTGAACTAAGAGGCCTGGGGACTCCTGGCCCCACCTCCCCTTCCCAGGCCCGGCCCTTCTTTGACAATAGTTTACCAGTCAGGGTTCAGCGGATGGGGGCTCAGGGGGCGTCAGGGCAGCGGGGGCCCGATGGTGATGCTGCTGTTGGTGACCCTCGGGCCGTAACCGCCCGCCCAGCAGGGG